CGTTGCCTTGAAATATGCAATAAATTTACATACCTTTCATGAACCTAAAATTGCATGATAACTTTAGTCCGATGTATCTTGGTTGTAAACCAATTGAAAACCGATAATAAAATGATTTACTTTAGACACAATCATAAATTCTAATGGAACCTTTAAATTTAAAGTGAGCTTTAAAGTTACAGGTTACTTGAGAAAGCGGCTCTAATACTAGGTTTACATATAAGTAGATTATCCTCATTTTCGAGCTTAACGCCCTAATCTGTAATTAGAAAAGAGATTAGCCATAGAAAATTCGTCCCTTGTGAAACCGTAATTATAAAATAACCTCAAATTAAGCTGATAACTTATCGGGGAGAAATGCCAAATGTGAAGGTAGACGATAATGGACGCTTGTTCGTAAAAGTATTTTTAATAAAATATTAAGTTTAAATATATTTAAATTGATTAATATATCATAAAAAAGTGATCACGGTGGCACAGAGAAGAAACACAACTGTTCCTTGAGATGTGTAAATAACAAGAACAACAAATTTGACGGCTAATAATCCGAGATTTGCCTATGTAAACAGGGTGATTAAAAAACCGGCTTTAATGGAGATTATACTTATATGTGAACATACTATAAATATAATATTTCCTATACATATGTACATGTGCACTATATGTATAATTAAAAATATTTGAATATCAATTTCGAGAAAGCCGACTGAAATCTGATATGCGGGTGTCTTTATCATTTCTTAGAACCGACAAAACCGAATCACTGCTATGATCGTGAAATTTCGCATAATTTTCACTGAATAGCAACACAGAGTTCACATTGAATATTACAAAGATCGAATCACTATAAGGTTATAGCTCCCATAAATGACTGTTCAGATATAAGGTTTTACTTTAAAACTTCTTCATTTAAACTACTTAACAGGTCTACTGAGAAAATCGTCAGGATCGGTGCTACATATGGTATCCCGTACCACTGTATATATATATATATATGTAGGTATAGATGTGGGGTCAATTAAAATTTTTTAACTAGCAAGGTCAGGTATGTGCCAATCTTCCACAAACTTTTCTTACGAAGCAAGGCAACTTTCCCCGAGTTGACAAACAAAATATGGTCTGCAGAGGCAACAAGTGGGGTAACACCCCGGCTAGTAATATGGATCATTAAGGGGTATTGCCTTATGGAACCGCACGTCTATAGAATGGGATTTCCGGCGAAAGACTACTGTCGTGTCAAATATCGTAAAAATAGTTCGGAAGTCTTTATAGTCTTTAAAACTATATTCAGCATAAATTACTTTATTTCGATCAAATTACTTCACATAAACCAAGTACGTTCACTTTTTCTTTCATAATTTCTATAGCACGTTTACGTACGAGTGTGTGGTTTGTACTTGATTTCAAAAAACAAATGGTTGCATACTTTTAGGCATTTTTTCAAGTTTCCTAAACAGTGGGGGCTAACATCTTTTTTTTTATTTCTTTTTTTTCTTCATTTGGTTCTTGATTTATAATAAATTATCTCATTTAATTTATTGACAGATTTTACAAAGCGATATTATTTGATTTCAGCATGATTTGCTTATAAATTACAAATGAGCCGTAAATTGCGATAATGTTAAACAAAAATATTCCGACGAACTGATAACCTCCTCCTTTTTTGGAAGTCGGTTAAAAAGTACATTATACTTATACGTTCATATCTGTACAGTGCACTAGCGATAACTTGAACAAATGAAAACCAGACTGGTTCGAGTCATCGAATAAATCATTTGTATTTCTATACCCCAGCGCACTTGTGCACAAGGGTACTATAACTTTGTTCACATAACGGTTGTTTGTAACTGTCTAAAGGAATTATGTAAGTTAGATTGATATACAGGTCTATTCTGCGCTGGTAATAAAAAGTTTGTAACCGGTAAATAAAGTTCCCGTCAATTTTTAAACCCTTTTCGCATTCTGTTTACTCTTGTAACCGGTAATTTTTGTTACCATCTCATAGGCTGGTAATAAAGAATTGCCCCGTGAAATATGCAATGCCAGAATTTGCACAATTCTTCATAGCTGAATTGAATTTTTTGGTAATAAAATTTTCCGGTTACAAAATCATCGGTAACGTGCAGAATAGACCTGATAGACTGGATCAATTTCAAATCATGCGAGCAGTCATGTTATATGGAGAATTGACTTGCGAATAAAATTTGATTTTCTGCTTGAAAATTAAATGAACACGTATTTTTTTTTTTTAATTGTACATAGCATTACAATTTTAATGATGTATTTAAAGAAGCATGAGAAATTGAAAAAAACTCACTATAGGAACAACTAGAAATCTTAAAAATTTTTGTATTTAAGAGAACTTAAAAAATACCAAACGCTCGGGTATAAAAAAAAACACTCATGCTCATATACCCATAGTTGCGTATGTAACGTATACGCCCCATAGCACCATACGCAGTCATCTAACACGTTTACTCGCACGCCTTAACTTGAAAGTCATATTATTTAAAAGTAATTAAATATTGGCGTTTAAGATTATTACACAGTATGCACATATGTATTTATTTCTTTCTTCATGTATGTAAATATATAACAATTGTTGTTTGTAACAGCCAAAACGAATCGAGATAGATATAGATAAATGTATACATAAATGATCAGGATGAAAAAAGAAATCGATTAAGCCATGTCTGTCTGTCCGTCCGTCTGTCCGTCTGTCCGTCCGTCCGTGTACACGATAACTCGAGCAAAAATTGAGATATCTCAACNAGACTTTCTTACTTGTTTTTTCTTCTTTTTTAATCAATTAGATTGAGAAGTGTGCATATCATTCTAGATGAAAGGTCCAACTACGGTTTCAAAACATCATGTTAATGCCGCACAAACTGATATTTTTAGGCAGAAAAATGTGTTAAAATGGGGAAATTAGTAAAAAGATTTTTCACAAACAATACTTCAAGGACTCACCGACAAATGGATACAAAAATCTTAATAAAAGTAGCCAACCAATTAAAAGTGACAGTTAATGCTGTACAACTCGATGCCTTGAGGCAAAAACACTTTTCAAAGTGGTGAAATTAGTAAAAAAAGATTTTGCAAAAAGGATACTTCCAAGGACTCACCGACGGATGCATAGACAAATCTTGACAATTTTATGAAGAGATAAAATTAGATACATGAAATCAGCAGCGTAAATACAAAAGCACGACACGTGATATTAATGGTTATAAGGTTTAAATAAATAAATTTAAATAGGTATATATGGGAGGCTTATAAAGATTAATCGATTATACCTTTTCCCTTTCAAGCGCTTATTTAAATAATTTATCCTGCTTTGGCTTTTTCACATTTATTGGAAGGTCTATTTCATGGCTGTGAGATAATAATTTTTGGAAGAAGTTGGTGGTGCAAGAAATTACTTCGCCATTAAACATTTGAAATATCCAACTTATTCAGCCTAACCTGCTCCGCTTTTCTGCAAAGTACACAGCTTGGCCTAGGCATTATTAAATTTTTAATCACAAATAAATTATGTAGTATTTTTCCAAAAAAATTCAAACGAAAATTTTTGAAAAAAAAACAAATTTTCTACAAAAGTTCAAACGGAAAATTTTAGAAAAAAAAAACAATGTTGCCCCCAAAATATATGTAAATACTTCCATAGAAGCAACACATAAAACGTGATATATAAGGCAGCCGAATGTCAGAAAATGAACAGAGAATGCTGCCTTCTTACTTCACCTGTTTATTGCGCCATGAGTAGTTTCGGTACTTTTTCGCCTAAATAAACGTTTTGAGGCTAAAATTGTTCAAATAATTGATTTATTTTTTATTGTACTTGTTTCTGGAACTCCATTGATTGAAATAAATGCAAGAAGAATGCTTTAGCGTTAGGGAGTGACACTCAAAAAAAAAAAAACAAATCGTGAGATTTGCTCACATAGCAAGAACAACAGTGTAAGCATCGGCCATTGCACAGCTGCTAGCTGGAGTAAAACTATAATTCGCATAGGAAATAAACGAAACACTTTGTTCGAATTTTGAAGTAGTCAATCGAGTAGGCAAAATGTTCAAGCTTACGAAAGTTCAAGTTATCGTGTGTTCGAATTTTCGCGAGAGCACTGTATTATTTAATGTTATCGTGGTCACAAAATAAAAGTAGAATGTTGTCAATCATCACTGCGTTTTAGTGCATTTAATTTTCGAACGTCTGGTAACACCTTTCGGTTCAACATTACAGCCATTTTGATTCCAGTTAATTAAAGAAATGTTAGGAAATTATTATACGCATTTTGTATTGTTCAAAATCAAAATATTAGATTTAATATATGCAAAATACAAGTGAACATTGCAAAGATTGCATATTTATAAAAACATAAGTGCTAAAAAAAGACACTTTTACGAAAATTTGCTAGTGCATGTGTAAAACATTTATCAACAAGTTACTTGAATACTATAACTAATAAAAGTGTGATTATTTAGGTTGATTTATCTGACAGCCCGACAAGAGAAAATTCGTTATTCTTAGATTAGAAGCGTTCTCACGACAGTCGGGTCTACGTAACCAGAACGACCCAGATTAATATTGGCCAAGAACCGTGAGTCCAGTATCAGCCCCCAAAACTCTGGGATAATTCGCTATATGTAGTTTTACTAAAACACCCTAAAATTATTTTCAATAAAGCCAACCTCTTCTTGCTCCGTCTCCCCACACTTCGATGGGGTGAAAATTTACCCAACAGCAGAGAGGTTGTCATCCCAAGCAAAAAGCTGAAGGCAAAATAATTTGTACTTATAATTTGCATTTTCCTACAGGGGAGTTAAGGACGACTCATGTACCTACATATCGTTACGACAGCTTACGCGAAGCTAGTTTTATTATCCTTTTTGCTCGTTCATCGCTGTCCTGATTAAATCGTATTGTAACAATTGCAGTTCCGAATATCCTGTTTTACATTACAAATGTCAATATATTACAAAGGTATATAGGTACTTACATTTCTTGGCACAGGCATACAAATATGCGTATGTGTATTTGTATGCGTGTTTGTAGTATGTGTGTGTTGTGTCTGAAGTCTTTCACGCTGTGGTTGCCGTTGTGGATGTGCCTGTCACTATCACTGTTTTAGTAAATGAAGGAAAGACCGACAAATGTATGGGGTATTTTCCGTTTCCCTTTCTCAACGATTTGACTTTTGTTTTGTTCTGCGGCTGTTGGTGCTGCTGCTTCTTTTTTCCACTTTAACGAGCTGGGATTTTTGTTTTGTTTTCGATCCCCAATCGTTTGGTTTAGTTTCGTAAATTTCTATAGCACACTCTCTTATTGTATATGTGTGTAGTACAACACGCTCTCCTTCTCTCTCTCTCTCTGTGCCTCTTTCTGGTGTGATATTTTCTCTTGTTGCCCCACAACTACCTATGGATACTTGGCATTTTAGTTTTATTAAGACAATACTTGACTCATTTCTTCCCCATTTTGATTTTTTCGTAGTTTAGTTGCAAGAATAACGAGTATGCGATAATTATTTTATTTATGAAATTGAATTTTTTTTTAGTGTTTTCGCTTAGTTTTTATGTTTTAATTTCGCATTAGTTTCAATGTATGATTTTACTTGTAAGATGTCAGTCGATTTGTTCTTCACTTTTGTGCAACTTTTTAACTCGGCTTTGCTATGCTTTTTATGTATTAATACATATGTATGTACATTAGCTTTTTTGTGTGCACATATGTACATATGTATGTACAAATGTTCATATGTATGTATGTTTGTTTGTATGTAGATGCACATAGATATGCTCCAATCTAATGCCTTTTAATATTTGTATGCGTTCTCTCCGGTGTCGCTCGAATTCCTCCTGGTTTAGCATTTAATTTCCTTTTTTTTCAATTTTGGGCGCACCGCAGCAGTGAAAATGTAACCGAAACCAAAATAATATTTTTTTAGTTTTTTTTTAGTTTTTGCTTTTTTGCACTTCCCCTGTATTGAGTTGAATTTTAATTTAGTTGTTCTTTTATTGCATTGTATTTTTTATATCATAAAAGTACCGCTTTTGAAGCGTTTCCCTTTATGCTTCTTTGTTGTAATTTATGTATAATAATTGTAACTATATAAAATTAGTATGTTCTCCTGCTTCCTGTATACCTACATATAAGTATGTATGTATAATATATATGTATGAATAACGGCTTTCAAAGCACAATTATAATACGCATTTATGTAAGTACATATATATGTATGTATGTATGTACTTATTTTATGGCTTTATATTATTGCAGTTTTTTCTTTCTTAATATACACATAAATCTTTCATATCAACTTGAAATCCATTGCACCAACTTTTTATGTTGAATTTGGCCAAGTTACATTTAACACTTTGAATATATTTTGATATTAAATCCAATGGAGTCGCTCAGTTGCACGGTTTAAGGACAAAATGACGAAGACTACACCTTTCACGTAACAGCTCTGCCAAGACACTAACACGCCATCGAAAAATTGCGCCCTTATGTCCAATGGTAGCCCAATTTCCTATCAGCAAGCAATTTACCGAGAGAGAGAGCCAACAAACATAAGGGTCACAACTACATATAGAAAATTCCAGTCAAACATATCTACGTATTTTATGTATATTTATATACATACATCTGTATATACATATGTATGTATGTATATTTGTTATTTATGTACAATAAGAAGGCAAACGGTGCATTTATGTATGTATGTATGTACATACATAGGTATATCGTCACAGGCAATATGCCTGAAATCCAGTACCCAAATTTTGGTGTCCAATGTTTTTTTTTTTCCTACAATCGATTGTATATTACTCTGTTGCGTTTCAAATGTTTTGGTGGTGGAAAGTTGGAGCAAATCTACAAATTACAAAAGCAATCCAAGGCGCAATAAACATTATCGTATAAAGGTTTTAGGTACCAAGGGATATTTTTTGTTAAAGTATGTATGTATGTACATTTATGAGTTTTTCCACGCAGGCTTGCATAAATAAATATATACATACATATACATATGTATACATACTTATACTACATACAAAACTTATAAAACTGTTTAAAAAATTTAAACACCAATAATTGCATCGAATCCGGGATAAAAATACATACATATTTACATATGTAGATATACCACTTAAAAGAAGGTTAGTAGATAATGCAGTAAATTGCTAAAATCGCATTAACTATAGGAGAATTTCACTTCTAACTGCGTTACCGACTCTTCTCATGTCCTCTTATATCCTTCTTCAATGGAAACATGTCTATACATACATATTCACATACATTTGGTTGTTTTTTGGCGATTACACAATAGATATGTTAGTGTTTGGCCAAGCTTTTCCACCGATTTGTGGCGTGCGGCTTGATGTTGTCACACAAAGGGGCGCGAACTATAGTTTTACGCTGACTTCGAACGTCGATTGTAACTTTATGAGAAGCTGTTTTTTATGGCAGAAATACAGTCAGGGCCGGTTGTTCAATGTCTGATTAGCACAAATCGGAGGTAGAAGCTCCGGTTAGATACAACGACTGCTTTATCGATCACATGTTATACGCATGATGTCGAAATCGTCGATAATGATGTCTAACCGGCAAGTAATGATAACCAGGCATTGAACAACCGGCCCTCAGTGTTTTGCCATTGCCTGCCAAAGGACGATCGCTAGGATCTAAGAAAGTGCTAGACAGAGTTTTTCCCGGAAACCCGGATTCCGGATATCATGTAAAAAATATCGGATATCCATATAAAATTTTGGGAATACACACATTAGAGTCCGACCGATTAATCGGGCGATGCCGAGGTTAGTATCGGCCAAAAGAATTATGTTTTTATTTTGTTATTATAAAAGCATTTGTTCTTGAAATGCTTTAGCATCGGCTGATTAAACGGTCGGACTCTAAAACACATACATCGGAACTAAACTAAATTAATATCACCTTTCCGTACAGTTCACGGGGTCCAAAGTTGTCCGGTAACATATGTATATTTGTATGTATGTACATAAGACTGCATCACCAAAAAAAAGTTCCGGATTTTCCGCCGGGATTACAAAATTTATTATATTTTAAGACGTCCACCAAAATATTTCGGAAAAATATTAAGATTTAGGCGAGCTGGGCCGATTTGAAAATACGTCCGAATTATGAATTAAAATAGTTTCTTAAAGAACTTTTTGAAAAAAGTCCCCTCAGATGACAAAACAGATTGGGCTTAAAAAAATCTGCATAAAAATCTTTTCAACGGAATCGTATTAATGCGATTTTTGATGCTGTTTTTTATTTACTTTTTTCAAAGATTGATTTACGAAAAACTTAAATAACTGGTGCAAAATTATTCTGATTTAGACTTATGCGATCTCGGCAGAAAGGTATTTGTCCCAGTTTTTTTTTTTTTCAAATACCAACACATCTTAATTCCACTTGGAATGATGTTCGTTCATCCTACCTTTCTCTTTCATCCTTTGCATGAGCTTATTAGCAAAGAAATAAAAAGGGTGAGAAAATATCTTTCTAACTGATACCTCAAAAGTCTAAATCGGAAGAGTTTAGGTTCAGTTATTCAAGTTTTTCTTATACCAAAGTTAAAAAACATCATCAAAAGTCTCATTATTGCGATTCCGTTCAAAATTTTGTTTTTTTCCTTTTTTTTTATATTCTTATATAAATTTTTTAAGCTTAAACCGTTTTGTCATTTGAGGCAATTTTTTCAAAAAAACATCTTTAAGAAACTACTTATATTCATAAAAAAAGCTCCATTTTTGGAGGTATTTTCAAATCGGTCCAGCTCGCTTAAATCTTAATATTTTTCCGAAATATTTTGGTGGACGTCTTAAAGTATAATAGACTTTATAATTCCAATGGAGAAACAGTACCGATTTTTTATTTTATGGGCAGTGATGCAGTCTAATGTACATACATACATAAAAAAGAAAAAAAATTCCCACAAATTAAAAAACTTATAGTTTCGGTTAAAAAAAAACAGTTTTTTCTGAAAAACCTTTCAAATTAAAATTTATTCAGTCAAAAGCCGTAAATCCGTAGCAGTATCCAGCCGGATAGTCGGTTAACCAAAAAATCAGCCTCATAAGCCGGATACCAGATATCTATCGGATACCCAGGACATCCCTAATTTTAACCATGCGTTATTCTTGTTAATGACGTAACCCTAACATTCTAAGATACTAACAGTTTTCCTAGGTGCACAAATTTTATTTTAATTTATCAGTTCGACTGTAAATAAGTTCAGGTTCCAATCACAAAGAATGTGGGGCGACTCTTCTTCATCTTTAAAACACAGAAGATGACCGGTGGGGAGCCCTGTGAGTATCACAATCCAAACGATCACCTAACGCACCCCAGTATTATCTGAAACTCGAAAAATACCAACAGTGTCCGAACCCATACGGACAGACGATGAGCTTACTCTCGCCAGTTCGTGGACTACTTCGCTTCCCACAAGGATCTGATACCCATCGCAATGTTACCATGTTTAACGCTATCAAGAGTTGAATAGTCACAAAACACTCCTTGACGAACCAACGTGATCATCCTATTGGATAGGGCTCTGCTTAACCTTAGACTGTCCCAAGCTTGGCAGTAAACGCACAATTCAAAACCCTTTTTAAAATTTAATGTGATAGAGGCTAAGACAATACGAGCATGGATCGGAAACTCGGGCTTTCCGACCATGATCAACAGCTTGTCCACAGCGCGGAGCGGAAACTAGAGCTTTCCGCCTGCCACACATTCAAAGTAACGACTTCGGGAACATGGATCGGAAACTCGGCCCTCCCGACCATGTTCAACAGCCTGTCCACAGCGCGGAGCGGAAACTAGGTATTTCCGCCCGCCGTACACAAAAGTACACTACATACTAGGCCTCGCCAGCTACCAAACCTGCTATCAATCAATCAATATGTATAAATTAGTCTACTCTTTAATATATCACACATATTTAAATATCTACATAAATGTTTTATTCTCATTTGTCTGTAAGAAAACATTTTTCTGTAGACCAAATAAATAAATAAATAATAAATAACTTAATTCACTTAATTTAATTGTTTCTTAAAGTACTTAACATTCGCATTAGACATTCGCATCCGCGGGTGTCTAAAATTCCACATTGGCAACATCCCTAGTACATACATATACATATGGGCGATTCCACCGTCACGGGTTGGACATTTGTACAGAAACAAATTTTCTTTCTTGTTTAAATTAAAGTATAAAGTAATCAACAATTCTACATTTTGATAAAGTTACACCTAGTTGACTATTATATGATTTATTACGAAAAAAATCGAGCTTACTTTTATATGGAAAAAATCTGATTTATTTCTTCTGTCACGGGTGGGACAAAAAAAAAAGAACCTGCTTTTTGGAGCAGATATATTTTACGGAAACTCTGCGAATTTATTTCGCTTTTCTGTGTGAACTTGATTTATTATAATAAAACAAAGAACAAAGCAACACAAAAAATCCGAAATTCCTCTGTCAAGGGTGGGACAACGTTTGTCACGGGTAGGATACGTACGACTTTTTATATGAAAAGGAGCTTTTAGTGTGGTCCATCTATAAAGATTAGTTATTAAAAAATATAAGAAGCTAAGTAGGGGTTAAATTCACTCACGTTTTATCTTAGGATGGTGCCTTTTATATAGAAGAAAATGCTTAGCACCGTCAGCCAAAAAAATTATAAAAAATGAACGCGATTTCCTAGCGTCCTGAAATTTTTAATTTTATCTACTTAAATTTAATGGACTACAAAAGTGCATACCTAAAAATTCTGAACAAAAAGTTTAAAATTTGTAAAGTTTTAAAATTTTTATAATTTTTGTAAAAAGTTTGAAATGTAGATTTATGCGGTTCTGGTTAGGTAATGTGCTACACTTTTATAAAGAAAACTATAAACGTTAGATTAACAAAATAAAAAACCAAAACTGGTCAAAATGTAACCTAACTTAATCAGCTGACCACAAGGGTATATAGATAATGGACGAGTCCACGCATCCCCCCTCTTCCCCTGCGTCCACCTCAACATGCTTATCAGCCCTGTAGACCTACTTATGACAACTGTCCCACACATAGCTGTCACGGGTGGGACATTCATCTCTGTTGAATTATTCTTATCTAACTACGTAGAAACGAAAATGTAATTGTGTTAATTGTGGTAAATGTTTGCAATGAATTTCTAATATCTCTACTTCTGTAATTAAATATAACAACTTTTAACTGTTTTTGTCGCGGGTGGGACAAGAGCTATGCTGCTTAATAATAACTCATAATATAGATAAAGCAGTCACACAATTTAATGTATAACACAATTTTATTAAAAGCAGATGAGTTCTACTATATATTTTTCTTACCAAACACTTGAATTATGAATCGCAAATTATTTGACAGTGCATTCAACTAGAGTCCGACCGATTAATCGGCATCGGCATCGGCATTGGCTAGTATTTGGCACAAAATTGAGCATCGGCATCGG